CCATATAACCTGTCTCAATCAAGACATCATATTAACTATTTGTTTTCACAAACTAATCAATCCCCATTTCTTACAGAGCACTGTGGAAGTTGGTTGATAACACTGGGAGTAATTGGGATGAATTTTTTTATAACATTTTCTTTTCTTTTAAATCTAAACTGCAAATGAGAACAAAAATTCATGCATTTTTGTAGGATTTACATATGCATGGGTAATTGTAACTTTACTTATTGCTTTAATAAAACTTGTAGTATCGATAAAACTTGTGAGTATGTCTGTGGTCACTATGCTTGGACTTTGTGCGTTTCTAAAGTCTCCAAATTTGAGAAAAGCACCAGAGGTAATGTTCACTTTGAGCTTGAAACTGTAGCAACAGGAGTTGAACCCATAATAGTGTAATACAAAATTACTAAATTCAATTTAAATAAAAAAAGGCTACACAGTGTAATCTAGATTGCATGGTTTGCCTAATTGACAAGTACAACTGCATTTTTCTTTTTTCAAAGAACACAGACTGGAATGCAAAATGATGTATTATTTCTTCCTTACAATGCACCAGGTCACTGGGTTATTGCAGTAAGATGTTTTCCATTGTTATACTTTGGGATTGTATCCACTAATGTAGTACTACATAATAGGATTCAAATACAGCTGTGATATAATTTCTTATATTTTGTGGGTTTTCAATAAATTTAATAGATACAAATGAAAATGGAACTTCAATGTAAGTCTTGAAATGCTGAGGACTGCAGTTTAAAAAATAAAATGCTAGTCTGAAGAATTTGTTGTTAGATTGGTAATGTATATTTAAAAAATACACCAAGAAATTCACAATATGATTTTCTCTTGTGTATTAGTGAGATATTACATGAGTATCTGCATGCAATGTTTTGAAAAATCATTATAAAATTGTTGAAATTATATTACCAATAACATATATATTTTAAAATTATATATTTTAAACTTGCATATAACATTCATGGAATCAAAAGAATTGTTAATAATTGAGCTCTTGTGTGATGAGACGAGATGTGAAAGAACGTTCTTGAGGAACTGGAGGTGATTTTTAGGTACTTATTTTCATACTTTACAGGTAGTGTTGGTGTGAAACTATTTTCAATAAAGATGATATAACAACAATGAAGACAATATGATCCTGATAGCTACAAATAAAAATGGAAACAACACATTCTTGTACTCACTCTGTTTAGTACTGGACATTGACTGAACTTGTAGGTTTTGAGCATGGACTAACTACTTAATTGAATGTGGACCCAAAATACTAGCATTTAGCATGAGTGTGAAGGTGGTGTTAGCAACACATGCCATAGCAAATCAAATGATATATTGCATACGACTCTATACCATAATATGAAACAGTGTGTGTGTGATATATATACTATGAGCATGAAGTAATTGCAACCATTCATGAAATAGAAAAACAAAGGAGTACTAAACATCTAGAGTACCTGTAAGAAAAAATGAAACCCACTTATAAAGTTGGCTACTATACACCTTATACATTTCAGATTGTTCGTCTACCGAGAAACTGGAAAATCCATAATGGGACTCTGGAAAATAAAAATTGTGGAACACAGGAGACAAGCAGATGGGCACAACTGTGGGCCACTCATTCTAAAAGTATTTAGTGTCAAATTTTGATTATTTCTTAATAATGTGTAATTATGATGTGTTTTCTAATTAAAAGTGTTAATTTGTAGAAATGTATTTAGAGCATAAAGACATCAGTACTATGGAAACCACACAAGAGACTCTAACTATATATAGAAGAAAAATCACAATTCTTTAATGAAAGTCAGGTAATAACTTTGTTATAAATACACAGAATATAGGGGAAGATAACAGGCAGAGTGGAATAATGTCATATCACAAAGTTATCTTAATACACATACAGTAGGATATGTCATAGGTTTGGTTCTCTAACGGTCTCTCTGTATGAATGTCTTTGATTAGTGAAAAATGGGGAGTGGGTAGATGGTTGACATTGAAAGAGCAATGAAATCTAATTGGATATAGTTATATCCACCAGCAGTCAACTAAAAGTTTGAGATAAATAGTACCAAATATAATTTAAAATATGACCCCCAAAAAGAAAAATATTTGCAAATCAGTAACTTAATACTTGAAATAATTGACATTCATGAATAAATCAAGATTTCTATTTAGAGTTTTGGTCATAAGGTAATCAATATTTGATTACATTATATTGATTTTGCAGAGAGCATGAAGGAGTACTGCATGTACTGCGCCTTGTCATACACAAAAATTAAAATGAAGATTGCATGCTGGTAAGAAACACAAAATTGCACAGTTAACACCATGTTTGAACAGATAAGTAAACAGAATACTGTATGATTGTTTATAGCACAAGAACAAAAGTCATGGCCCAAGATCCATCCAGTTGCACATAGACCTGATGGAATAGCTTCGCTAAGGATCAGGATTGTTGTAATAATTCCACATTAGTAAATATTTCCACTGCTGCTGACTAACTTTCACTAATGATTATATGTTCAAGGAATATTATTTTATAATTGTATGAATTAATTGAAATTATATTTAGCATAATTAGTTCTGTCATAATTTTCTCATCTATTACTTATCAAAGGTACAGTTTGACTCTTGTAAGAGGTAAGCATATGTGTCCTACCTTCCAGAGAGAACCAGTGAAGACATCCTAAGTGATAAGAAGAAAGAGTACGACTGCAGAAAGTGTGTATAGTTGGGATGTTTACAAAAGATGTATATTGTATGATTATTTTCTTAGGGTCAATATTTTTATTTTCTTGTTGGAATACAAATGTGTAATAGAGAAGTTAAATTTTAATGTTCATTTGAGTAAAGGAACAATATATGTTAATCACTGTTTCTAAAAATGGGTTTAGATGCTTGATTTTGAAATAATGTTGAAATGTAAAGTAAGCTATTCTTGTTTATATACCTTGTTATAACAAGTTTTCAAAATTTGAAAAATACCTAGATAGTAGCAAATTGTGACAAGACAGCACAACCATCTATCACAATTTGCTACCTCTGGATCAGAGGATGGGAACGGTGGAAGGTGACAAATTGTGAGACGGCAGCAAAACAAAACCCCCCATAGGTGTCAGTAACTACTACCAGTAGCAAAATGTGATGACAGCAGTTTTAGATATTACAGAGTCTGTGCCGGACTGAGCTGAGACGTGCTGGAGTGGGGTCTGTTCTAAGTTGTGCTGAGCCAGGCTGGATGGTGGGGAGGTCTAGTCTTTGCTGTGCTGAGCCAGGTTGGGCAGGGGTGGGCGCTGTGCTGAGCCAGGTGTGGTGTGTGTGTGCTGAATGATACTGAGCTGTGTTGGGTGGGGGGCCATGCTTGGCTGTGCTGAGCCATGCTGGGTTGGGGTCTAAGTTGGGCAGTGCTGAGCCAGGCTGTGGGCCTGTGCTCAGCTCTACTGATCCAGGATGTGGGCAGGCTGGGGCTGTACTGAGCCATGCTGGGTGGTACGCGGTTGTAATAAGCCGCGATGTGCATGGGATGCATTCTGGGCTGGACAGGGTTGAGGAAGGGGTCTGTGCTGAGGGGGGTCCATGCTGGACGATGCTGGGCAGGGGTTTGACATTGCCTGTGCTGGGGTCTGTCCTGACCCACGCTGGGGGTGGGGTGCTGAGCAAAGCTGGGCAGGGGCTGGGCTCCGGGTGTGTGTGTGTGTGTCTGTCTGTCTCCCCCTCCAGGCTGGACTGTACTAAGCCACGCCGGGTGGGGGCTGGGCTGAGACCAATAGTGGTCTGTGTTGAGCCATGTTGGGTGGGGGTTTGTGGTGGGCTGAGCTGGGTAGGGATCTGTGGTGGGCTAAGCTCTGAAAGCCGGGATGGGTGCATCCCGGGCTGTGCTGAGCCGGGCTGGACAGAGTGCTGTCTCTGCTGGGCTGAGTCAGGTGGCAGGCTGCGCTGGGGGCCGAGCTGGAGGTCCATGCTGAGCTCAGCCAAGGCAAGCCAAGCAGGGGTAAGAGGGCGGGTCTGTCCCATGCTGTACTGAGCCTGGCTGGATGGGGGTGAGATCTTTGCTGGGCTATGCTGAGATGGGCTGCATGACAGTAGGGTCTGTGCTGGATTGTGCTAAGGGCTGGGCTGAACTGGGCAGGGGTCCGTGCTGCGCCAGGCTCTGATTATGCTAAGCCAGGCTGAGCATGGGTCCGTGCTGTACTGCGCCATGCCGCGTGGGGAGCTGGGCTGGGCGGGAGTCCGTGTTGTGACGGGCCGGGCGAGCTCCGAGCTGTCAGGGGCTGTCCCCGGCGCTCGCTCCTTGGGCACAGCCGGGTACCGCTAGGGGGCGCTGGCCACCACCTCCACCCCCCGGGGCTGGGCCTCTGCTGCGGGGAGAGCCGCGGCCGGGCCGCGCATGCGCCGTGCGCGGAGCCAGGCGGCGGCGGCAGCGATGGCTCTGCAGTGACGGTTGGCTCTAACGGTTGCTATTGACATTGCGGCTCGCAGCGGCCAGCGGATTCTGCCGAGCGCCCAGCAGGGGAAACCATTGGCTTCGCGCAGGAGGCCGCGGTAGCGGCGCGGTGATGCGGCAGTGCTGAGGCCTGGTGCATCCGCCCCCTCTCCTGCTGTTGGATCGGGAGTCGCGGTCCGGGCCGCCGCCGCCCTGCACTGGGCTCGCGGTTCCTTCCCGCCCCGCGCCCCCATGCGGGGCCCCTGCTAAGCCGCCGGCGGGACGGGTGAGGGCGTGTGGCCAACAGGAGCAGGCCCGGCGGGCGGGCGGCCCGGCATGGCCCGCAGCCTGGAGTAGCGCCGCCGCCGGGCCCGCTGCAGGCGGAGGAGGAGCCTCGCGGCCGCCGGACAAGCCAGGCCCCGGCCCCGTGACACTGCCGGAGAGGGCCGGGCGGGCCCTGCGGGGCGACGAGCGAGCCCGGCGCAGCGCGGCCCTTCGCCCCGCCCAGCCCGCGCCGGGCAGCGCCGCGGCCTCCGCGCCCGGCTTGGGCTGCTGGTCGGCTCCAGCGACCCCGGACCCCCGCTGACTCTTGGCCGGCGCGGACTAGCCGCCGCCCTTTCTTCTTACCCCGGAGCCGTGGGCGTTGGAGCGGCTGCGATGAACCCGGTGAATGCCACTGCTCTCTACGTGTCAGCGAGCCGCCTGGTGCTCAACTACGACCCCGGCGACCCCCAGGCCTTCTCCGAGGTCACCAAGCTCCTGCCTTACTTCCGACAGTCCCTCTCCTGCTGTGTTTGCGGTGAGGAGCTTTCTATTGTTTGCTGCACAATGAATTCGGGGCCTTGTGTACCCTTGGGAACCAACAGCGCTGAAGCCCGATTATTTTTACACCCGTTTAAATGGGAAATGATAACGCAAATCTTACCGTTGTTTAACCCCTTTCCAGGGGTGTGGGGAACATCTATAAGGTGTGACACCTGTTAGGAATCTGTATAGCTTCCAATGAAGTTAAAAAATTTTCCCCACTCCTATTGCATATTTTCCAGCAACTCCAAAATTGCTCACCTTGTCCCTCAACAAATTGGAGAAATGTAGAAAACATTCCAAGAATGAGTGTGCTGGGAACAAAACCCCTCTAATTTTTGAGATCTTATAAAATACCCAATAAAGGATTTACCATGAAAGTTTCCAACGCCACTGGAAAACATGCAGATATAAAAACAACAAGGAGTCCGCCGGCAACTTAAAGACTAACCGATTTATTTAGGCATAAGCTTTCGTGGGTAAAAAACCTGCATCTGAAGAAGTGAGGTTGTTTTTTTTTACCCATGAAAGCTTATGCCCAAATTAATCTGTTAGTCTTTAAGGTGCCACCGGACGCCTTGTTGTTTTTGTGGATACAGACTAACACGGCTATCTCCTGATACTTGACATGCAGATATAGAAACCTTGCTAATTGAGTCCAAATTTTTTAAGTATAGCTTTGTGCAAAAAGAAGCATTCAGTACCTCAAATCATTGTATATAGTATCTTGTAACCGCTGTGTCCTGTTACAGAGAAGCTGAATTAGAACCAAAATGTTTTGGCAACAGGCATTGGAACCAAAACATTTACACGTGGGTGTACTGTATTTCCATGTCTACTTGATTTGCAAAGCAATAGATGTGGCAGGGCAGTTCCAGCAGTGGCTGGGTGCGCTGTGTGAGGGGATATGATGCTGTTGATGGAAATGGAGCTGGTGGCATTCTTGTGTGGATAGATTGGGAGAATGTGCAAGTTGTGGTAGGTTTGTATTTCTTGCTGGGAATGGAGAGTATAATTCTCAGCTGCCTTAAAAATTAGTTGCTCTTGACTGTCTTAAAAGACTTCTGGAAAGTGTGCAGTACTGGGCAAAAAAAAAAACCCAACAACAACCGAACATTGGGATGCATAAAGACAATAATACAGAAAGCGTGCTATTATAAAATCAAAGGTATATTGTCTCCTGAAATACTGTGGGTCAGTTATGGTCAGTCTACCTCACAAAGGATGTAGCTGAAAAAGAGAGCACTTAGCGGTGGGTAATAACAATGATTAAAAGTAGTGGGAAAACTTTCATTGACAGAACAGGAAAAAAAATTGGGACAGTTTTTTAGAAAGGCGATGAACAAGGGGGGGATGTGACAAAAGATACACAAAGCGCAATG